GTTAGCGTTGTTTTAGCGGGTTAGTTTTTCTATGGGATGGGTCGCTAACCTCATGCCTGATCCTCCTCCTTTACCCGGGCTTGGGACCGGAAGTAACTCTAGAAGGGCTACAAGCGGAGTTAGGGGGATAAAGCAAGCCAGTAGAAAAACCAAAAACGAATAAGGCACCTGTGGCATACAGGTTTTCACACCGAGTTATCAGTACTTGTAACCTGTTCTCTGAAGCAGTGGTGTTCGCATTCGCGCATCACTCATCCAAGAGAAAACTAGACATTCACAAAAGCATACTAGAAGAGCAATAACATAGGCCGTAGACCTTCTGTCCTTACTGAATAAATCTGAATCCGAACCTCGACAAAAACAGGATCCTTTTGGAGAAGCAGAATGGTTTTAGAACAGGTTATTCTTGTCTCACTAACTTGTCAGTCGCTCGTGAAAGCTGTTGCGCTCTTAAAGACCAAAAGTTACCTGTAAACGTAGCTTTCAACAAAGTTCCGCAAAACCGGCTGTTATATAAGCTAGGAAATGTCGGGATTGGAGGCAATCTATTGATGTAGATAAAAGACTTCCTAGTTGGGCACCAACAAAGATTACGGGCGAACTTCAAGTTGTCTAGCCGGGAAACTGTGCTTAGTGGAATCCCCCAGAGTACAGTTTTGGGGCCAGTGTTATTGCTCTTGTACGTAAATCACTTCCCTCGTCTACTAAGATCATCAGTCTTGCTATATGCTGACGATGCCAAGATATGGAAAGCAATACAAAGTAAGGGTGATAGCTTATAACTCCAAAACGACCCGAAGAAATTATCTGAATGGTCCCAAACCTGGCAATTTCCGATGAATACTTTCAAGTGCATTGTGATGCATATCGGTCATCAAGGTACAGACACATACTTGATGAATAACATTGAGCTACCTATTGTCCAGACACAATGACTTAAGAGTCATCGTTAGCCAAAACATAAAGTCTACTGCACACTGCCGTTTTAGAACTTTAAGGCCCATACATAGGGCTTTTTGGTCATATCGACGCTAAAACGTTTTTGACTTTGTATACAGTGTTCGTGCGTCCCATACTTGAGTTCTACATACAAGCAGTTAGCCCTTGCTTACAAAAAGACTGTGAGCTCTTGGAAAGGGTTCAGAGAACAGCAACTAAGCTAATTCCCGGAATAGCGGAGCTCCCGTATGACGATAGACTGACCAAGCTAAACCTATTCCCGCTGTCATATCAAAGGACCAGAGGCGACTTGATTACAGTTTTCAAATTTACTTACTTACTTACGCCTGTTACCCCTCGTCGAGGAGCATAGGCCGCTCACCAGCATTCTCCATCCAACTCTGTCCTGAGCCTTCCTTTCCAGTTCTTTCCAGTTGCTATTCATCCTTTTCATATCGGCTTCTATTTCCCGGCGTAGTGTGTTCTTTGGCCTTCCTCTTTTCCGCTTCCCTTCCGGATTCCAAGTTAGGGATTGAGTCGTGATGCACATTGGTGATTTCCTCAATGTATGTCCGATCCACTTCCAACGTCTTTTCCTTATTTCCTCTTCAGCTGGAAGCTGGTTTGTCCTCTCCCATAAAACGCTGTTGCTGATAGTATCCGGCCAATGGATGTTGAGTATTTTGCGTAGACAACTGTTTATAAATACTTGTACCTTCCTGATGATGGCCGTAGTAGTTCTCCACTTTTCAGCTCCATACAGTAGGACTGTCTTGACGTTCGTATTAAAGATTCTCACCTTGAAATTGGTTGAGAGTTGTTTTGAGTTCCATATGTTCTGCAATTGTAGAAATGCTGCCCTTGCTTTGCCAATCCTCGCCTTTACATCTGCATCCGATCCTCCTTGTTTATCAACGATGCTCCCCAGGTACTTGAATGTTTCCACCTCTTCCAGAGTTTCGCCATCAAGTGTGATTGGGTCGGTGTTCTCCGTGTTGCATTTGAGAATCTTGCTTTTTCCTTTGTGAATGTGGAGGCCTATCGATGCGGAGGCTGCTGCTACATTTGCTGTCTTCATCTGCATTTGGTCGTGTGTATGAGAGAGGAGGGCTAGGTCATCTGCGAAGTCCAAATCATCTAATTGATTCTGAGAAGTCCATTGTATTCCGTATTTCCCTTCGGATGTCGAATTCGTCATAATCCAGTCAATCACTAGAAGGAAGAGAAATGGGGAGAGTAGACAGCCTTGTCTGACTCCGGTCCTTACTGGAAATGCATCTGTCAGCTGTCCTCCATGCACCACTTTGCACTGTAATCCATCGTATGAGTTTTGGATAATGTTGACGATCTTCTGAGGAACTCCATAGTGTCGAAGAAGTTTCCACAATGTTCTCCCATCCACGCTGTCAAACGCCTTCTCATAGTCGATGAAGTTGACGTATAGTGATGAGTTCCACTCAACTGATTGTTCAACGATGATCCGTAGTGTCGCAATCTGGTCTGTGCACGACCGATCCTTACGGAATCCAGCCTGATGATCCCTAAGTTCGGCGTCTACTGCGTCTTTCATCCGATTTAGCAGCACTCTGTTGAAAACTTTTCCTGGTACTGATAACAAACTGATGCCTCTGTAGTTCTCACATTGGCTCAGATCTCCTTTCTTTGGTATCTTGATGAGATATCCTTCTTTCCAGTCCATTGGCACTTGTTCCTCTTCCCAAATCTTTTTGAATAGAAGGTGAAGCATGTTTGCAGTTATTTCAATGTCTGACTTCAGTGCTTCTGCTGGTATATTGTCAGGTCCTGCCGCCTTCCCACTTTTGATTTGTCTGATGGCCATCTTGACTTCTTCGATCGTTGGTGGAGTGACATCTATTGGAAGGTCAGTGTGTGCTGCTTCGATGTTCGGTGGATTCGATGGGGCTGGTCTATTCAGCAGTTCCTCAAAGTATTCTGCCCATCTTTTCCTCTGTTCCTGAATCTCAGTGATTGTCTTTCCTTCTTTGTCTTTGACTGGTCTCTCTGGTTTGCTATATCTCCCTGCCAATTTCTTCGTTGTATCATATAGTTGTTTCATATTCCCTTCTCTTGCAGCTTTTTCCGCCGCCGTTGCTAGTTCTCCCATGTATTTCTGCTTGTCGGCTTTAATGCTTTTCTTCACTTCTCTGTTTGCTTCTGCGTAGTCTGCTTGTGCTTTGACTTTCTCTGCTCGTGTTCGGCTGTTGTTAATTGCTAGTTTCTTGTTCTTCCTTTCTTGAAGTTTGTCCAGGGTCCCCATAGAGATCCATTCCTTGTGATGGTGCTTCTTAGGACCAAGAACCTCCTGACACGTTGAAGTTAGTGCTTCTTTTATCCCTTTCCAGTTGTCCTCCAAAGTAGTTTCTTGTTCTTTCAGTAGATCCTGTAGAGCTTGGAACCTGTTGTTGAGAGTTATCTTGAATTCATGGAGTTTGTCAGTATCTCGAAGGAAGGCTGTATTAAACCTTTGTAGTGCTGTTTGTCCAGTTGTCCAGTGTTTCTTTAGCTTCAGTCTCATCTTGGCCACAACCAGGTGGTGATCTGAAGCTATGTCAGCTCCTCTCCGGGTTCTCACATCTTCCATTGATCTTCGGAATTTTTTGTTGATACAGATGTGATCAATCTGGTTCTCTGTGGTGTGGTCCGGTGAGATCCATGTAGCTGTGTGTATGCGTTTGTGTGGGAATATTGTGCCGCCTATAACCAATTTGTTGAAAGCACATAGGTTTGCAAGTCTCTCCCCATTTTCATTTCTCTCTCCTAATCCATGTCGTCCAATTACATCTTCATATCCTGTGTTGTCCACTCCAACTTTAGCATTTAGATCTCCCATAAGGATGGTGAGGTCCTTTCGTGAGCACTTTGCTATAATTGATTGCAGCCTTTCATAGAACTGATCTTTATCATTGTCGTTGCTATCATTGGTGGGTGCATAACATTGGATAACATTCATTGTGATCCCTTGCTTCTTTGTTCTGAATGATGCTTTGATTATCCTGGGTCCATGAGATTCCCATCCCACAAGTGCATTTCGTGCTTCTCTGGACAGCATTAGAGCAACTCCCTGAGTGTGTGGCGCATTTTCCCCTTCGTGACCGGAGTACAGCAGCATCTCTCCTGTACCTAGCCTTTGTTGTCCAGTTTGTGTCCAATGGGTTTCGCTGATTCCGAGTACTGCCAAGTTGTATCTCCTCATTTCTATTGCTATTTGGCTGGTCTTTCCTGTTTCCCACATTGTCCGGACGTTCCATGTACCTATAAAGAGTGTTGCTCTGGTTGTTAGAAGATGCATCGGTCTCGTGACTTCCGAAGAATTTCGGCTTTCATCATGAGACGTCATTATTCCTTCAACTCCCAGGGCAGAGTTGAAATGGTTTGGATTATTTTTTCTGGTTAGCGTTTTTTTAGCGAGTTAGCTTTTCTACGGGATGGGGTCGCTAACCCCATGCCCAACCATCCTCCTTTACCCGGGCTTGGGACCGGCAGTAACTCTAGAAGAGCTACAGGCGGAGTTAGTTTTCAAATTTACTAGTGATAAATTTGCCTATGATATGCCTCATTTTTTATCCTCCAAAATAGAAGTTTTACGAGGATACTCCGAAATGTTCACAAGCCCAGAACAAATTACTTGTCAGTTGACTATCGACTTTCCAATCGAATCATCAACGAGTGGAATTCATTCCCACAGTACGTGGTTGAGGCTCCCTTCGTCGGCTCTCTCAAAAGAAAGTTGAATCAACTGAGAGAGTATCATCGCCAGGACTAACACAGGCCATCAAGCCTCCTGTCCTTTCTGAAGTGAAACTGAAACTGATTCTGAGTCTCAGCATACCACAACTCCTTTAGTGAATGTATTAACCCGAAATGTGTACCGATTAGTCATTCTCAAGAACCAGATCATACTAAGACTTCAATGTTAATTTCGATAACGCCTGGGTTGAAGTATATTGTTTAATCTAGTCAAGAATATTAGTTATTAGGGGCTAACGTTGCAAATATTTGACCTTAACGATGTTTCATTTATTTCCGCTAAATTTGTAAGAATGGCAAGCTGTGGACAAAGCTGTAGTAGCAGTGATGTGGTTGACTGTGTGGTCATTAACAAAACAGTGCAGCATATAATCCCAGAAATTATCGCTGCAATCAAGGATGAGATCAAGACATTTAATTATTACCTGGTTAGTTCGGCTTTCTTAAATGCCACTAAATAACTTTATTTAACATTTCCATATTTCCCCATAAATAACGAGGTTCTCTTTTGTCGTATGGTGTTCGTTGGTAGCTTGTTAGCTCGTTTTGGCTTTTTGCCTAGACGATGTTGTAATGAATACTTGAGTTTTCATCACTAGTTCCTTCATCGTCCATTGCTGGTCATGATTTTCAACTCTTATCAATAAAGTAAACAGAACAAACATCTAAAGTTTTATATTGTCTTTGCATAATTTGAGACTTATTTTTATCATGTCCTAATTAATGTAAGTAGATAGAGCGAAACTATATTTTGTTAACGATCTGTTGATAGTCATTTTACCCTACTTAAATCAAATTTAGTGTTAGTACTCAGCCATTGTATTATTTCTAAAATTTAACTACAAGTTTCCGTTACAGTTTTGTGGTCAAAGATTCAAACTAATAGGTCGCAGATTTGATCTTGGTTGAACCAGTTTTGGTTTCAGCAACTGAGTAACTATGCCAGCTTTTCGCAAAGTTTTGTCTAAAACCTGAGTATTTACATTAACATAATGGATGTGTTACGCTTATTAATTCAAGGTCTGTTCAGGATTTTTCTGAATCTACAACTCCGTTTTGAAAATGATACGTTATTGCGCCCTTTTATATCCATATAGAAGTGAGGATTTCCATTGTTGAATATCCGTAAAAGTTGTTAGTTAGATGCCATGTACTTCGTTTGGCCATACTCATCCATTCGGTTTTCCAACTCTGGCCATAAAAAGACTAGAGTTCAAACATTTGTAATCTACATTGAACGGAGTTAATGAATTGGTTTCTTTGATATTAAGCATACTAACCTTTTAGGTTCTTACCTTAGGAAAATTCCTCAGTGGATCATATTCTTTATATCAAATGAGGGTAAGCTTACTCAGCTGTATGCGAAGTGATTACGAAAACCACCAGTCGATGCTAATTGTAACTATATTTTTCAGAAGGACTTATCTGGTGATGGCGTAGTTTACAGTTATCCTGATCGGATATTGCACAAACCGTTTCTGAGGCTGTCTAATGGAGAGGTAACTGATTTGGAAGTCTATATTTACTTTTAAGATACCTCCTCCGAACTCTGATGCGATTCTTAGAACACAGAGAAAAGAACACAATTTGAGTGATGTTCGTGCTACTTCTGGTAAAAAATGTAAGCGCTTTTCATATTACATCTCTCTGTACTGTTATTGTAATTCGTCTGATCACGAAAATAGTTCAATGTACTTTCAAACACTGACTGTTCCTGATATTTTTGTCATTTTACCAAAATCTTCATTTTTGAAACTCAGCATTCACTATCTACTAGTCCTAGTCGGGTTATTTTCTTGTAAGTCATGAGTAGAACCATGATTAGTTTACCATTCACGTCATTGTATCAGTTTCATTCACCGATTTAGCTAATTGCGAACTGTTTTTACCATTAATACTTACCAATAAAATAACAGGGACGTTGAAATGTAACCTGGTTTGGAATTACGTTCCACTTCAGTGTGTTCTTATTTTCTCAGTTCTTACGTTCTCAGTACACTTAACGAATATTAATAACTTTTTGTAACTGGATGAGGTCTTTCTTTCCCTTTTATTCCAAACTGCGTTAATAAACTGAATTGTCGGTAAACCTAACAGTCATCTTTGTTCTAACCGCGTTTCTGTTTTCTTTTAATTTACACTCCTATATTATTGTGGGATATAACAAGTATTACTTAGTAGGTGACTGTTTAATTCTTACTCCTCTGCTATCAATGTAACCACTAGTTTCTTAAATATACTTCACGGAATTCAAGCTTCATAATACCTTTTTGTTACCGGCAACAAAATTTTACACTAATGAGTGTTGACTGAATATTTCTCAAAATTCGCCGTATAAAGTTGTACGTATTTAATGGATAAATAGTCTTGACCGATGTATCTTTACCTATAACGGTTGTTTTGTTTCTATAATAACTTCGGTCGCTTATCATTCATTTTACTCATCAGTGTTCAGTACTTTCTGTTTTACGGTAAACAGAACTCGTTGGGTCGGTATTCATCGATATTGATGTATGTCTGACAATAAAAACCTTCAGTACTGACGTTAATTCACTGTGCTTATACTGAACAGTTTCCATAATGATTCGCATGATTGAGTTCTGACATATATTTTTTGTATAGGGTTGAAGAAGGAGTTAATTTCCTTGATCAAATCTGTCTCTAAATGTGTTCGTAATCGCCAGATTCAGATTTTAGAAGACAGACGAGAACTTTTGTTAAAAAAGGTCTCCAAGACATGTAAGGAGCAACCAAGCTCTGAAGCATGTCTAAGCGATTCTTTATCCTGTGTGGAATCTCGCCAATCTCTTCTGGCTGAACTTCAAGATTGTGAATCAAAATTATACCAGACTCATCTTATGTCTTCGACACCTCCGAGACGGTTGATTTCAACCTTAGCAAGTATGGCATCAAATGACTCTGGTGAATATGTCTCTCAAGATGTCTTTTGGAAGAATTATGGTCATAAATTGAATAGTAAAAGTTCTTACAGCCAGTCTGTCCGAAATTGGTATGAATTACTTTCATCAGCTGATAGCATTATCTCTTTAACTGATTGGACTGAAATATCAAATTTAGAGGTAAGTTTTCCATGTCATTGTGATCTCATTAATGAATTTCGAAACGTTGAAAATTTCTCTGTTATCAAACACTAATATTCTGTTTTATACATTTTAAGTACACCCCATTCTATCTATATGTAACTTCAAAACTCTACAGGGTATCCAAGAAATGGTACTTTAGTCATATGAGTTATTAAATTGGCAAAATTGTGGGGATCAGTCGAATCATTGTAAAATAACTGGTTATATTCAAATAGGCTAACCAAAAACTTCAAATATTCCTGATTTTAATTATCCCACATGATTAAAACACCCATTTATCCCTATAAAATATTTTACTCCGAATCAGTAGCTACTTTATGTTGTTAATAGTAGACTATGTGGTAATGAATTCTCAGGTTTTAAATACGTCTGATGTACCAACACAATTCTTCTTTCGGACTATAGCATTAAACTATTATGGTTACCGGTTAGTAGTTTTGTAAAGTTAACGGTACGTATGTGTCTGATTGTAGTATTTATTATTGCGGTAAATTTAGTACAATCGGAAGGATATCCCTAAGACTTTTTTATAAACCATTGAAGAGGTGCATAACTATGGGGAAAAGTCCTATAAATTGTATATATTGTTTTGTATTGTGTGAAAATTAGCTCTCTGCCATTCGCTATATTAAATGGTTCAGACACAACTCGGATAACTGGTATGCTAGATAAGTTATTCTGTATTCTTCGATGATTCCTGCACAATGAATCGAGAAGCAATTTCAAGTTAGTCCATAGACAATCAAGTAATGAGTTTTGGCGTAATCGAACTCGGAATAACTAAGCTGTTTGGGTTGATAAATTTTATCTTTCTATATACCATAAATTAACATTAGTAGTTCACAAATCAGAAGTCAGTAGTCTTATAAAGAGGGACGAGGACAACATAAGTGATATGTCAAACAGTAACTACTGGAGTCAGTCAGTCAGCTACAACGTAGACACATATATGCATCGGTCCAAGTCGCCATACCTCGTTAGCACAACAAGATGAACACCGGTTTCATAGAAGTAGTTAATTTAGTGGCGGTAATATATATAAAAGAAAGGTTGTATATAAGGATATAGTATAGGAAGAAAGACAGATATGAAGCAATTTTAATCTCAAGGTTTTATTTATTTATTTATTTGAACACATATATATTGGTACAAAAGGGCACCAGGTACATATGCGCCACACAGAATAATGAAAGTAGGAAGAGAAGGGATGAAAAGATAAGGCGGGCTGAAATGTACAACCAGAAGACTCTTTCAGTTAGGAAAGTTAGAACCATTCTTTATGTAGAAAGTAAAAGAAGGTTGCAGCAGGATCGCCACTGGTTTCTATTCTGAGCCATATCTGATAACGTCTCTAGCCACTGTGTTGCACCATCTCTCGGACCCCAACCAGGGAGTCGTGAAGGACCAACAAAAGCTAGCCCTTTGCAGCTTTCTTTCATGCCACGACACCATGTCATACACTGACCTCCTCTCCGCTTTCTCCAATCAGTCCCAGGGTCGGCAAATAATGCACGACGTGGAAGTCTCTGGGACGACATTCGTAAAACATGTCCAAGCCACCGAAGTCGGTGTTTCAAGATGGTGACACCAATTGAATTGTCGTCTCTGCGCCCGAACACACGATGCCGAACCTCTGCATTACTAACATGGTGTTGCCACTGGATGTCAGCAATCCTTCGGAGACAACGATGATCAAACACAGAGAGACGTCTAACATCCTCAACTCGGAGAGGCCAGGTTTCACAAGCATAGAGCAAAACTGCTCTCACCGACGCGTTGTAGATCCGACCTTTTACAGTCAGACTAACATCACGAAGGCGCCAAAGATGGCCCAGATTGGCATAAGCCGCTCTGGCTTTCAAGGCTTTCTCAAGGTTTAAGGGAAGATAAAGAGTTTATACACCTGCACCGTTGTGATCGATTCTGAGCCATGTCACCCAGAGTTTCCAACCATTGGTTACGATAGTCTCACATTACCCCAACCAAGTTGTCTGCATCTACCAACATAGCTCAGACTAAAAGTTAGTGACTTCAAGCACTGATGCCACGTTTTGGTTTGACCACCCCTAACTCTCTTCCAAATATCCCCAATACTAGTCAGCATTGCGCGTCGTGGTAATCGGTGTTCAGGCATACGTAACACGTAGCCCGACCATCTCAGTTGATGAAGATTCATGACCTCATCAACTGATTCACCATCATTCCCTAATACCCTGTATCTAACCTCACTATTACTTGCCCAGTGATCCCAGCAGATGCGAGCAATGTTTCTAAGGCATCTGTGGTCAAATAATAGTAACTTATGACTATATTTCACCTTTAATGGCCATGTTTCGCAGCCTTAAAGTAGAACAGAGCTAACTACTGTACAGTATACTCGTCCTTTGATTGATAGACGGATATCTCGCCTTCGCCATAGAAGACGTAAGTTGACAAAAGCCGAACGAGCTTTTTGAATATGTGCCGAGATTTCGTCAGACACCAAACCATTAGGGTTGATCAGACTTTCAAAATAGGTGAAGTTGTCGACGCGTTAGACTACTTCGCTCCCTATCCTTAGTTCAGGTGTTGACGCAGGCCAGTTCTGGAGTAACAATTTACTTTTAGAGGGGGAGAAACGCATTCCAGATATCCTGGTATTATTACTCAGTTCTAGTAGAAGACTGCATTTTGTTAGCGTCTTCACCAAACAGGACTATATCATCTGCGTATTCTCAGTCGATAAGTGGACTTCCTGATAGGAGATCAATTCCTGAAAATTGAGTCAAGAAGAGTGTTATTTCCAGCAATAGGTCTATAATGAAGTTAAACAAAAATGGGGATAGTGGACAGCCTTGTCAGACGCCATTTGAGGTTGTAAAATTAGATGACAGTTCGCCATAAGCTCTCACTGGACTAGTAGTGTTCGAGTAAAGAGCATTCACAAGGTTTATGTACTTCTCAGGTACACCTTTCAATGACAGACACTGCCACAAAGCCTCTCGGTCTATAGAGTCATGCTGCTTTTAAGTCAAGAAAAACTGTCATTGTCGGACGCCGATAAGCATGTCTGTGCTCTAAAACCTGACGTATAGTGATGTAGCCACGACCAGGTCTGAAGCCAGCCTGATTATCTCGTGTTTGCAGTTCACGAGTCTTAGGCGCCTGGAGAGAAGAAAATGACTCATCAAGATCTGATATCGTTCATCAAAAACATGTAAAATTGTAATTGGCGAATAAAAAAATCGTAGTGATACAATGTCGAGCAAGTCAATATTGTGGGCGTTTGATGCTCCTACTGGTGAGCTTATTTGTCGATCACATCTTAAAGTCCCCTGAAACACCCTCTACGTTTATCCTGGGTTATCATCGTCAAGCAACTGGCTTCTAGTAGTTTTAAGTTTTGCACGTCTCGAATAATTTCTGCGGTCTCATTCCTTAATTTCGCTGTTCGGATACGTTTGCCAGGACCATAGCTTACTTGCTCGATAGTGGCTTTAGGCCACAGTCTCCTAGATGTTTCAACATTGTTAATGAGGATTAACCCACCTGGCTGTACATTTTTTCGTATGCTCAGTCGTTTATCTGTTTCTTAACTGACATGTGAATGTCCTCGTATTTATCTGTCCTAGAATACAGTAGCTAAATTCTACACTTTCTTCTATTGTATAATAAAGTTTCATAGGCTGAAGCTTCGTCGAATGACAATCCCTTGTGAATCAACAACTTATTTGGAGTATGTGCTTCTAGGGATCCACGAACACTCTTTATCTTCATGAGCGGTCTGTTCAATAGTCTGCTTCGGCCATCAATGTTTGGAAGTTTTCGTAGGTTAGGATGGTTCCACTACATATCTGCCGTCTTCATTATATTTGCATTACTTTTGTTCTAACATGAACATCTTGAGTTACGTGTATATAATAAAACAAGCCAACCTATAAAAGTTATTGACCTATTTCACTTTGATCCTTAATGGGGATCAGGAAGTATAATCCATGCTTTTTGTTAAAATTACTGCGTTTAAATAAGTCCTGTTAGGGTAACTAAAAAATATCTAACTTCAGTAAGAATTTATTTTTAATTTTTACTACTCAAGTTGTTGATTAGGTAGATGAGATAATTTTTTAACCACAATAAGTTTCTGTATATTACTGAGTGATTTCCCAATTATCTCTTGGCTTTATTATTTCTAATGTAAACTGTAGAAATGTTATTAGTTGAATACTAAAAATCTCTCGTTTATTATACCAAGCACTATTTTAAACCTAAATTGGTAAATTTATTTTTAATATCAGAAGGAGTTTTTGTGGATACTATAGTACTTTAAATAGTTGCAATCATGAGTCAATTAAAGCTAGACCACCATGGAAAACCTAAAAACATTGGGACTCCTTAGCAGTGCGCATCTACGATGCGTCCCATACTACGACAAAATGGCTGTACAATGTTTTCAGGTTTTCCATGATGGTCTAGCTTCAACTGACTCATGATCACGACTATTAAAATTTATTTTCGTTGAATAGATGGTTATTTTACTTATCTCATAGTATATGGTTAACGTTTTTGATGTTGATTCGATATTCAGAACAATAAAGATGTAGACTGCACTCAGCGGCATTAACGTCGTAACTTTTCGAAAATTCCAATTTGTTATTATGAAACATTGACTGTATAAAAATGCCAAATTTAATGAATAATAAGCCCTAGAAGCATCTATCTGAATGAGCTCTCATGTATCTTGAGTAAACTTATACTCATCCAAATATAGATGTTTCTAAAGAATAATATCCTTGGATATTTATTTTTAGTCGATTGCTGTCAAATCTTTTCAGTTGTGTGGATGCGTAAGATTGGTCATTAGCACAGATATCCTCTCTTCCTGGCGATGTTATCTTAATATACGTTGTTTGGAGATACATTTGTCGTTCGATTAGAATTTTAGTTACACTTCTAACACCTCATTCTGTTCAAAGTTTTCTGACCAAACAACACTAATTATTGACGTATGAAGCACCTCACACACAAGTGCACTAACGATTAATAAAGAATTAATAGCTATATTTTTATGGGAAACTGTAAATTCACAGCTCCTAGGTCTACATTTTCATGAATCAACCATAGCATTTAAAGTCTCAATCTCATTCCACATACATTTTTGTTTTCTGTCATTTTCGCTTTTGGATGAGATGTTGGGTTATTTATTCACCACCCCTTTCGTCTTCAAACCATTGAGTCGCAAGTTTGAATTTCGTCTCATGCATTTTGTTTTTTTCTTAAGTCAATTTGTATCATTAGACTTGTCATTAAAAGCCTAGCTCAAGGCCAAGTAAAATAATCCATACATGGCTACATATTTCTTTAGCTTACCAGTATCCGATTGCCTTATTCAGAAGTATAAATCACGTCTGAGTATTCTACTCAAAGTTTCTAAATACTGCTATTCTTTAATTTCCTAAAACTTATTATAATTAGGCATTTGGTCTACAATATTGCAGTCGATAACGAATGACAATGTAAGGATGTCTGTTTTCTTAACTGTATGTATAAAGGATATAAATGGAGCTTAGGAATAAGCACTTCCCTGCTAAAGTGACCGTTTCAGTTTTTCTGTTATTGATTTTACCGAACTCTTTGTTCAGAGAATCTTCTTCTTGTTAAGTTTGTTGAATTAATTCTACTTTTTCTAGAGTAGAACTCGTATTAATGATGTCAATGCTCGATTAACATGGATTCATCGTTTACAACCCAATATTAATCGTTCTAAATGGTCAGCTGAAGAAGACAAGCGATTGATGGAATTAGTGGAAGAATTTGGTGAACATGGTCGTTGGGAAGAAATATCCAAAGTTTTAAACACCAATCGTACTGCTTTCATATGTTGTCAACGTTGGCAAACTGTTTTGAATCCTAATTTTCACATGGTAATTACTCATTTTCATCATCTATCTATCTATCTATCTATATATATATATATATATATATATATATATATATATATATATCAGTAAACTTATCGCGGTATAGATATTCAAAATGAATTTAAGATATCGGCAATAATGAATCATCCTATTATGAAACTGCTACTTTAGTAAGTAAATAGAGATACAATTATTTGGAACTCTGTTCTCGTCACGGATCACTAAGTTTTTGTCTGATGTACATATTTCTCAGAAACAAAGTTATGACAGTCGTTTGGTTGTTAAGAATTGATTACGGTTTTAGAATTCGACATACATCTTGTCAATAAGCACAAGCTAGTTGTTTTTAACCTACTGCTCGAATATGTTGGATGCTTGGCTGTTGCATAGTCACCCAACCTGTCGGGGTAATTTATAATAAATCAACCAAAACATTTTGTAGAATATTAACTGGAATAATCTGAAGAAGTAGCTTTCCAGTGATTTCTACCTTTTATTAGTCGATTATGTCGTATTCAAATTTTTTCTCCTGCTCCATCAATTTTAAGTTTTGTAGAAGTAATTGATTTGATTATTTTATCGAAATGTCCTTTTCCATTTGTCTTTCACTAAGTAGTATTGTAGTATATGTTATTTATGTCGACAGACATGGTTCTTGTATTTTACTAAGAGATTCTGTATTTTTGTATTTGAATACAATCGCTTGTCAGTCACCAAGTGAATTAAAAATAACTTCTTTGTGATGAGAATCTGTTACAGTAAAGTTATCATATACACATTCATTCTGAGCAATAAGCTTCTTTAGATAGCTATAGTCAATGCTAATCTACATTTAAAACGCAAGTAAATTGATCTGGGTTCATTTTTGTAGTTGTATAACTCAAATTTACTTCATAAAATCGTTGAACAAAGAACGATTTTGAGGATTCCTGTGTTACCATATTCTTTTTCCGAGGGATATAAGAACAAAGAATAACAAATCCATTTTGTCACGCTAGGTTCTTTTACAGGGTGTTCGCAACATGTAATACTTTAACGGTACGATTAAACAAACGATTACTGTACTTATAAAAATGGATCAAGTTAAAATTTTACATTAAAATATATCAACGCTGCGTAGCAAACACTTGAATCAGGTTAAAATGATTGAGTAAATTAGTGCAAATGAATATCATTTTTTGTCATATCAACGATTTTTCATTTTACATTACGGGTTCAATAAGCGTACATTTAAAATCCATCTCTTATGTAGAACTTAAACGTAAGCATAAATTATCTGTTATGAGATTATTACAATTTTGAAGTAAAATCGCATAAATTTTTGACATAAGAATTTTTACTTTGTGAATGACAAGCTGTGTATAGTACCATGATATTGGCACACATTAAACAGAAGTCAGTGAGCTACTTTTGTTCAAAAGTATCACTTAAAAGGTATGAATCTTACTTACTTTTTTTACGATTACTAAAATTCGTGTTGATTTGTTGATTGTTTCTCAAGTATCGTCCATGGTCCACTTCAGAGGATACCGAGTTAATCGATATCTTAAAAAAATTACTTCAATTCTATTCGCCCGGTTTAATGGATTGGGATATTGTGTCTGCTCACCATTCAACCCGATCAGCTAATGAATGTCGTTCACGTGCACCAATAATTTGTTCAGCATTTCAAAATATTAATCCAAAAGTACAGAGAGTTTTAGATCCAAACATCGGTCAAAGCATCAACCCTCAGGTATTTCCTGTATACCGTCCATTTTCTCTTGCTGAAGATTTACAACTCTTAATGGCCGTTCAACGGTATGGTATTGCTGGTGGACGTGTTGGTCATGGAGGAGGTATAGGTATAGGTTCTTGGGCATTAGTCACTACTGCTTTGCCTGGTCGAAGTGCATCCTCTTGTCGAAAAAGATACTTAGAACTGTGTGAGCAATTTCAACCTTGGACATGTTATGAAGACCACAATTTATATCATTTAGTTCTTAGTTATGGACCATATGCTCCCATGGGATGCTGGAGAACAGGCCCGAGTCTACGTAAGTGTTGGTTAATCTTTCATTCATGCTACATTCAATTGCTTCTGTAATTTTTACTCTCTTTCATGACTGATTCGTGTTTGTGGGATCATAATAGCTTCCTCTTCGACTGAGTGACTCGCAGAGTTACAAAATCAGAACAAAAGGATTTTGTGGTGTACGGTACTATTATCGAAAAAATATTTACCACCTCAATTATTTAGGTGTCTGTGGTGTTAAACACATTACCACAAGTAAAGAAAAAATGCTTCCTACAATAATCATAGATAGATAATTTTCAAAACGTTCGATAGCTCAGTGACTGTCAGCAATTGAAACGGGAATTAAAGGCAAAAAGGCTGGAAAGTATTATAATTAAATAAAGGTTCAATGAATGCACGAAATTGTAAGTAACTGTTACAAATGTTAATTACAGTAGTAGATAAACTGAATATTACAAATTTGTATAAACACTTAAAATGCTGAGCAGCAACAGATTATGGGACTTTATGTCCTAAATAATTAAAGATAAAACTAAATACTGAATATTACCAAGTAATATAATGTAATACGAAAGTTTTTCGAATTAGAAATGAAGGTAAGAGCTGTAAGCAGCACTGTATTTTCCGACGCAATCACCTTTGGAAAACTTCACGTACTGGTACGGAAACAAAGTTGATATAACATGACTTCCAACCTACAAGCTACACCTGAATGATTTAGATATTAAAGTATGACTGTCTGTGCTAATGCATTTAACAAAAAAGTAGTACTATTTAGTATCATTCATACAATTTGAATTGCATTAACATAACAAGTAAATAACCGGAACCCCATCTTCACTCTACTTGAAAAAGCAAATCTACTTTAAGCGAGTGCAAATTATTGTGTTCAATTCAGCCGTTGAGCTATATTAACCATTCGTACCATAAAGTTTCGGGCGTTTCAATCACTTGGTGGAAATAAATACATTTTACAATGTATATATTTTCAAAATTGCTAGAACTGCTGATTTACTTTAAATTAGACTGTGCATAGCTCATTTCCATTTTTTTTTCATCAAAATAAATATCATCAATACTGTAATGTTTTTCCGAACTATTTATACAGAAATTTTCACTAATCTTCTCCCATATTTTCCTGGACGTTCGGCTCATTCTCTTCAATCACGTTTTAAAACACTTAGAAGATGGGCAGTATTATGGTATAATTTACGTGAACAAATAACTGGAGGACTAGAAGATTCATTCAATTGTGTATGTGTATCTCATCTGTATTTATTGGAAATATTTTTGTAATTTTAATAGCATTTGGTATGTTTAAATGAGATCTGATATCAGGTCTCCTCTGAGAATGCTTAACTAAATTTTCATTATGAAAAAATTTGACGACAATCTAAACAAATATTAAGGACTAACGTGTATATAGGTAGTAATTTTTTAGATCTTAGTATTAAGCGATGTGAGCAGAATGCAAAGTAGCGTATTTAATTAGGTGTTTAAAGACTTCTCAGTTATTAGGAATTGTTTCATAATTAAAATGCTATAAAAAAAATTTTTCAAATTAATTCAAGTGATTTAGTTCTAGCGGTTAAAAGTGCTTCATATTATTAAAGTAAAGGATTCCGTGAATAGTCTGTACGAATTTTTAAATAAAGCATTATGACACTTCGTTTAACGACCGCATGTTCAAATTCTTCCTTAAAACTAGTTTAAATTGATTTTATTTTGAGTTATGAATTCTCAAATCTGAATATTCACTCACCTCTCTATTAACATTCCACAGAGTTGGTATATTTCCGTCTTATGTTTAAAAGTTTGGAAAATATTTACCATATCACAGTATATTTGAAATCATTGTTTTAAAATGTACGGAATTATTAGATATTTTTCAAACTTTGAGAGTTCACTTTAAATTAATGGAATCTTAAAAATCTCTGTATATTTTCAGAATTCTTTATCACCGTTGGAACAGAATATTTTATTGTATTCACCTTTTGCTACACAATTTGTAGCTCAGTTGAAAAATGCTGGTGTTCCTGATCCTGAAACAGAAGCTTACAGAATAGTAAGTTATCCGAGTTTGTCAGTTAATCATCATTATATTAATGATTGAATAAAGTCCTATCAAGTCCCAGGCTTCTTTGATTGTAGGCAAACTCGTGTCAACCCAAAGTCTCATGGGATAATGAAGGGGGATCTGTAGGTTCTGTAGTGAACACATAACACTTGGATTGGTAAATTTTCATCTGTGGAATGAAACTCCATGGTTCAGCCCTACCTGTAGTTTCTGATATTAACGGCAAAAATTCATAGACTCAGTCACTGAATGAGTCACGGATTCTAACATTTGTTAGAATGAAAGGCATGCAGTAATAATTATAGCAAAACGTTTAATACACGAACATACAAATGCATATTAAGGTAACTTCATAGATTATTGTACTTTCTTTCGTACGGTGATGTCAACGATCACTCGTAAAGGATGAATAGTATGAACGTATTATATAAACAACCCAATATTTTGTAAGAACTCAAGACTAAGTTCGTTATTTATCTAAATGGGGATTCAAAACACAAAAAAATGATTTTGTGGTAGTGTATTACAATTCTCCCAATATGTTGAATACAAGCCAGTTGCAAATAGATAATAGGCTCTCCATATATCTTCAGTTTTCATAAGCATTTTTACCTGATTGACACATATCCCCTCAGTCTGTTGTTTTCTGATATAAAACTGTACCTGTCACCTTAAAGTGATGGGGTTGGGTTTTCATTATCATAACAACCTAATAAAGCTCTATATTCGCTGGCACATAGGTTGCTTGAATCATTATTACGTTATTCAAATCAGTTTATGAATAATAAGGCAGAAGGCGACCGTTTTAACATTTGAAGACAAAGTCACACTCCCGACTATTTCGAGATTATTCACACTATTCATTAAATTTACCGGTTGATTAATAATAGGAATTTATTTAGTAAAGTTTTTATGTATATGTTTATCATCCTAACAAAGATAGTTACACTATCTTTACTTAATGAATCCATTCTGATTACTAAAGTTCTTATTCTCTTACGTATTCATTAGAGTTTAAATTTGGATGTGGTTGTCTATTTATCTGAACTGAACGTCTCCAGTCTTCCTTGTATGCTGAATTTAATTTCACCGCTTAATATGTTAAGTCTTTTTAGTAAAACTTAATAAAGATGTAGCAATCATTGTCATACGCTTTACCTACTTTTTTGAAAATTTCCACTTCTTATACCATCTTTCATGCTATTTAAACATCAATAAGTTTATTGACTATCTATATCGTTTTTATTATTTCATTTGAAATAATCAATCGTAGTTAACCACATGGAAAATTCCCAAAGACCCTGTCAAGTCACCTAGCTACATTTGGTCACATAAAGATTGGAAGCCTAATCCAGTTGATGCAGATTTTATGCAGTTTTTGGATGATTTAGTTTCTGGTATTTTAATTCAACAACATATTACAACAAATAATAATACGAACGAAACATGTATTGCTCCACACTCAAATCAACTGAATAATTCTGATGAACAAGGAGTATGCAATGAAGCTAATGAAACACGAATAAATTCAACTTCTGAAATTTCAGAACAAAATACAGCATTCAAACAACTTACATTCTCAGAATCCAAATGGATTATACACCAGACTCAGGTAATTTGGCTAACCTTGTCTTTAATAATGATAATAATAACTCACCTCTGTCCAAACTGACAATTGGAGTGCTCGTTGGGTTATCACCAATCATTTCTCTGTTCCTCTAATAGCTATACAAGTCATACTATTTTATAATACGAAACAGGTTCATAAATGGTGTTCTAACCACGGAATTGATTAACCTTATCCCCAATTTATAAACACAACATTAGACTGTGATAACGTGTGTGTTTAAACGGAAAACATTTTTTTACATACCGTACTGAATAAGATTTTATTAACTCCCAATTGTATCTGTATGATACATTTGATTGTCTAAAAATATCTATAAGATTCATTGTATAGATGATTGAACTGATTAGATACAAAAATCATCCCTTTTTTGAAATATTTTAATTTATAAATCTCATTACGCTTCACTTAGAAAAAACAACTTTCCCCGATTCCTCTTCTATTGTATACTTAATTTAATGGCTATTAAGTTCTTTGTATTTTTAATAATAATACATTTGTTTATGTGTAGATAAAACATGTCATAGTCGGTCCTGTACGCAGATACCTTACTACAATGGCTGGAGCTCGTGTAATGAATTCTGCGCACCAATCATCATCCGTACTCATGCATCATCGTAATTTAACTGCTGGTCATAATTCAGTACATGTAACTCATAGTCGTAAAGGGAATCGAGCTTCATTATTATTACGTAAAGATCATTTATTTTGGATGACACTTGATCAAGTGATGCGTGATCCAAAAGTGAAATCAACTTTGCAACAAATAAATAAAATATCTATGTTAAGAACTGTAAGTGTAATAATTGTTACTTTGATTAATGGATTCTATGAACATTTAAAATTTACTATTTTAATTATTTTGATGACTGCAGTTTCAATGGCGTTAAAAAGCAAATCTAACCAAATTCTTTTAAATTTGGTTTAGTAAGCCATACAATTTCATTATAATATTTTTGTGGCATAGTGTTCTATGCGCATTAAACTCAAGCATTTAAATAATTACATGTCTGCAAGTGTACGTATTACCTGTTAACGGATTTCCGAAATGAACCATTTAGATTATAATCACTTATTGATTGCCAAATTTCTGTATTTATAATGTTATTACAGTTGTGATAATACTTATGCACACGTAATCTGATCACTGATTTGTTGAAAAATTTGGTTTGTATTCATCTAAAGTTTGTATCATCAGAACAGACAATTATTGTATGAAGTAGGGAATTTTCGAAGTGTTAATTCATCATGATAAAATTGAATTATATGACAACTATACAGTCTATTCGTTCAAACTGTTATTCAACATGAAGTTTGCGCTTTGTACGATGTATCATTAACATCACAACATATATTATGGCAACTAATACAGATCTGATTTATATACATAATAAACTTGGAAAACAACTCCTTAGAACTAAGTAATATACGTTTTTGAAGGTCAAATAAAAACACATTTATGAGCTCCCTTTCAAATTTTTGGTATAACTCACTAAGCAATTGATTAGTTGTTTAAATATTCAGTATTTTACATGATAAACTTTGCTAAATGAAGATTAATGATACTACTTATTTGTTCAAAGCGAAATAGTTGAGGTATTGTGGAGTTAAAATATGCGGTTAAGACTGTATTCATTCAGTTTCTCGTTTGTACCCATCTATGTCATGTGATTAAATTCATAATTTGCCGTCCACTAAAATGTCATTCGGTAGTTCATTTACAAATATATATTATTTTATTTTTTGTTAATTTAAAGTCAGCTCCTTTCATTGCTCGTCAAATGGTGTTGCGTCTCAGTCATAAATCATTTACTCAAACTGTTTGTCAAAAGCAAAAAGGTTATAAAACAACTTATACTAATTTACGTATTCGAAAAAGAGGACATTGTAAAAGAACTTTAAGAGGAAGGAAATTTGATAAACATTCTAAACAAAATGACTTGGAAACTTGTCATGATCAAACACAAATATCAATAGCTGAAGATATTACATCATCTAAAGACAATCTAAGCAGTTCGACGTCTACTTCCTCAATGATATTGTGTACTGACGAGACAATTACGACTGCTGAGGCCACAATTACTAGCAGTAACAATACCACCACCGCCACTGTAAACACAACGACAACTGGTGTTAGTGCTACTACTAAAGTAATTGCTTCCCCTAATTCTTATAATACAACTACTGATAAAAATTCGATCGAGTTAACAGAAAATAAACGAAAGCTGTTATTACAAATTCATAGTATTTTGAAAGCTTTCGAAAGGAAAAGATACAATTGTTCAAATTCGTATGCTTTAGCAACAAATATTTGGTCTCGAAGAATGAAGGTTACAGAGGCAAGTGGTATTATCATTTTATGTGTTACCACATAGTTTTAGTGGGTTATAATTATTTTTGATGTCCACAGTTGCGGAGATTGTAAAATTTTGCAGTTAGAAATCACTGACTGACTTTTGACAACCAAATTTGCTGGTTAGTTGTGTCGTCCTTTAATATTAGTTCATGTGTAGGCTTGCTTCAATTGGTCTTCGTTGTTAATGATTATTCCTCAACCACGTCATGTCATCACACTATATTTTAACACAATTTGTTCGTCACTTGAACGACTCAAAACGTCCCCATCATAATACGTCTGAAACACATTGAATTGGAATTTATTCTGAATAGTTGTCACCTTCATATGATCTGTTCCTACCAATACAGACAATTTTCCCATTTGTTTACACCAAAATGTTTTTTTAAATCAGTTGATTATTCTTAGCTTTACGTAAATGATAGATTAGATAACTATTAGAAGACCGAGGGACTCTGATCAGTTATTGGTTCCTGACTAATGTCAAGTCTTAAAAGGGAGACAGGATTTTGTTGGTTGAGTCTATAGTTTACTTCATTTCACACTGCAAACAGCAAGCCAATCAGTGGTAATGTTTTTTAACAGAGGGAATGATTTATACTATAATAATATCTTTAAGGAACATCTGTTTTATATTTAAGACGAACAACCTGTTGATAAATATCAACAACCTTGGTATAAGTTATTTTAGAAACTTTCTGGAGTGGATTAACTTTGAATTTTTGTGTTTAAAGTCGCTTTAAAGAGCTAAGTGAGAAAATTTCAATGGTGTTCAATCGAATGATCATAACTCCTCAATCTATTTTTACTCAGGATAATTGTCTATACATCTTCTATGGAGGTTCATCATAAATTGTTTTTAGAAACAACTTATAAACCTATAAGGTTTTTTTCTTTTTACTAATTTCTCAACCTCATCAAATAATAAAGTCTTTTTTAGTGTCATGGATGTTCGTTGAATTCTGTGTTACTTTAGTTTATACTAAATCATGAATAGCTACGCTAATCGAATATAATGAACATTAAATTACATTGTGGTTTCTTTGATTTTGTTTGGAAAATTCTTTTCATTTATTATCTCTTTCTGAATAGCCAAATGTTGCCAATCAGGAACGATTCATTCCACCTATTATGCGCGACTTACCATCAAATATAGGCATTCGTTTATTCCATCAACCTGAATTAATAAGTAAACGTTGTTTGGAAATCGCACGATCATGTTTACAAAATGGATTAAATTTGTATACAGATGAGAAAGAATCATTGAAAAAAATAGATGTTGTTGATCAGTCAACTGCCTGTACAACATCGTTAGATACAAGTGATTCACAATTGATAAAACCTAAAAGAGTACATATTCTACCACCAAATTATTCTACTATATTAGGTTTTAAAAGTCTTCTAATGCATTTATCCACATTGTTAGAAAAAGAAAGAGGAAAATTTTCACAATTTACTGAACTTAGGTAAGTTATATATACATATATGCATTTTTATTTTACCGTTTTTGTCCTAAAAGTACTATTCAAGTTTTGCGTAAACATTTCTACATTTTCATGTATGATTCTGTTATGCCTGAATCTAAATCGATTCCGCGGTAACGAACGAAAGCCAATGACACAATGACACGATAAGCTATTCTAATCTGTTGTCCCAGGCCCCGCTAACTAGATGAAGAAGTCCAAGGCAAGTAGGGGAATATATATGTATTCCGTAAGCAGCCGAGTACAAGCAATCAAATAAGGGAAAAAGTCAAGCGCATTTATACAGTAACAAATTGTCCTTGAGCACCATTAGTAAATAGCACACATAAAGAAACAAAGGACCAATAGCGGTTAAGATAGTTTACAGGTGGGAAATATGACGTGAAGGTAAAAGAGCGCTTTTGGCGCGAAAACAGCTAAATTCAAATTTTCAAAATAAAACTACAAGATTAGGCCATTTACCAAGTAAGTTCTGGGGATTTGACATCCCCAACACCTCCCCTTTTTAGTAACGGACATTCTTTGGGTCCACCTGCATTCTAACTGTCTGTCGCCGTTGGCGCAGTGACCATCTTCGGGACCGTAGATCGACCTTTTGATCTTCTTCATGCGTTGGGACTGCCGGCAGATTAAATGTATCCAATAGTACGTCCAGCGGAATCTTTACTTCGGTCGATGGGCGCTCTGGTGTTAACCGCTTGCGTAGTTGATTTCGATGTCTGGTCCATCTGTCCGTTCCTACCTCAACCTCATACATGACTTCTCCCATCCGTCTAACCACACGTGCTTCGATCCAAGGGTCACGATTTGCTCTGTAGTCCCGAGCGAATACTGGGCATCCAACGTTGTACGTGGGTAGCTTCCGGGACGTGGTTTGTATTAGTGGTGGTGTGGATTTCGGCAGCATCAAGTTGTGAATGGTCCTCAGCCGTCTTCCCATGAGGATCTCTGCGGGGGACTTCTGCTCCGGCAGCGTGTCGTTGGGGGTCGTTCTGTAGGCAAATAAAAAATTCTGCAGTGTTTCCACTGGCGTCCCCTCCCCTTTTGACTTAATCAGAGCCCTCTTGAACGTATCCACGAACCTTTCCGCTTGCCCATTCGATTGTGGGTGGTAAGGTGGGGCGCGAAGATGCCTGATGGTTAGGCGTTTGCAGAACTCTTGGAACTGCGCCGAGGCGAACTGCGAACCGTTGTCGGATACAATCACTTCCGGTAATCCGTTTCGTGCGAACAACTCAGTCAAATGTTTCAGAGTCTGGGTGGTCGTTGGTGGAGTGACGGGAACAATCTCCGGCCATTTTGAGAAGGCGTCGACCACGACAAGATATGTGGTTCCGTTGACTGGACCGGCAAAGTCGATATGTATCCTAGACCAGGGATGCTCAGGCTGTGGCCATGGGACCGGCGGTACCTTCGCATTGGACTTTGCAGCTTGTTGACACTGAGCACATTTGTTTACTAGATCCACGATATGCTGGTCCATGAGGGGCCAGTAAGCATAGCTTCTGGCGATGGATTTCATACGCTTTATGCCTGGATGACCAATGTGGAATTGCTTCAGCACCCTCGGTCGTAGGGATTCTGGCACGACCACTCTATCTCCAAACATCAAGCATTCATTTACGACACATAATGAGTCACGACGATGGTAAAGCTGCTTCATGTCACCGTCAAGTTCAGTTGATGGCCAGCCATTGGTGACGTAGTTCATCGTTTTCTTAATGACGGGGTCGTTTCTGGAAGCAATTTGTATCTCAGATTCTAAGACTGGCAAAGCACGAACAGCGGTTGTCAGGTAGCATTGCGCGTGGTCTTCTGTCGAAAGAGAAGCGATAACGGCATCTTCATCGGTCGTAGAGTGTTCGTTGATGAGTCGTGACAATGCGTCTGCTTGACCAAATTGTTTGGTGCGTCGATACTGAATGTCAAAATCATACCCCAAGAGGATCAAAGCCCATCGTTGGAGACGGTTTGCAGAGTGGGCCGGGACGCCAGATTTCGAACCAAAAATTGCGAGAAGGGGCTTGTGATCCGTAAGGAGTGTGAACCTCCGACCGTACAAAAATTTGTGGAACCGCCGCACCGCAAACACCAGGGCGAGAGCCTCCTTCTCTATCTGACTATACTTCCTTTCTGCCGGGGTCAGTGTTCGGGATGCGTGCATGACAGCCTTCTCTGTTGCGTCTGGAAACTGATGAGAAATGACGGCTCCTACGCCATACGCTGAGGCATCTGCAGCTACAATGATTGGCATGCATGGATCGTAGTGCGTTAATAACAATTTCGAGCTGATGATGGACTTCAGTTTACAGAATGCTGCGTCACACTCTTTAGTCCACTTCCACGTACTGTTCTTGCTCAGTAGGCCATTCAGTGGGGCACGAATGTCATGCATTGAAGGGACGAACGCGGCATAGTAAGAGACCAGTCCCATGAAGGAACGCAGTGCGGAGATATTCGTGGGTGTGGGCATCTGTCGTATCGCTTGGACATTTTCAGGATCCGGTCTGCGGCCGTCAGCATCAAAAATAAACCCCAAATGCTTTACGGACCGTAATAAAAACTGGCATTTCTCAGGTCGTAACCGGAACCCGTTTTCACTAATGCGTTTCAGTACCGATGTCGTTCGCTCATGTAGCTGTTCTAACGTTGCGGCAACAATTAGAATGTCGTCAAGGTAAGCCGCGACTCCCGGGATGCCCGATAAGATAGTATCCATTAATTGTTGGAAAATAGATGGTGCAGTCTTGACACCGAATGGTAAACGGTTGTACTGAAATAACCCACGGTGAGTGTTGATAGTAAGCAGCTCCCTAGATGCTTCGTCTACTTCAACTTGCAAATAAGCATCAGCAAGATCCAGTTTTGCGAAGAATTTTCCCCCATTCAGCATCGTAAACAAATCTGCCGGAACTGGTAAGGGATAGTGGTGTTGTTCAAGGGCTGCATTTAGACCTGTAGAAAAATCAGCACATATTCGTAAGGTGCCGTTTGCTTTCTTGATGACCACTATCGGTGCTGCCCAGGCGGAGTAAGAAACGGGAGTAATTACTCCTTGTTGTTGGAGGCGGTTTAATTCTTCATCTACTGTTGGTAACGTCGCATAAGGCACGGGTCTTTTGGGACGAAAGACAGGCTTAGCTCCAGGTTTCAAACGAAGCGTTGCTTTTAAGGTAGAACACTGTCCCAAACCAGGCTGGAAAATCGATGAAAACTGCGCCATTAGCTTCCTGGTATACGATTCAGTGCCATGAGGTTGTGATATCATGTGGCATATGGTATTTAGTGGGACATCAGCCAATTTCAGTTGATCGAACCAATCTAAACCAAGTAAATTTAGATCAGCTGGAGTTATATGACATACCCCGGTAAATGACGACTCCCGGAAGGTCACTCTACATTCCAATTGTCCTTCTAAGTGTAGGAAATTACCACATGCGGTACGAGGCTTTTTAGTTGTTCGCTGCAGGCTTGGGCGACCCATTTTGATCCAATTTTTGTGAGAGAGGATGGTGACGTCTGATGCGGTATCTATTTGCAATCTAAAAAAATGTCCATTAATATTAATGTTAATGAATTTCCTCTCACCTGGTGATGAACTCTGACAAGAAGATACCAAGCTCAAAGAAGAGGTACAGGGCTTTGGAACCGTCTTTTTGGTATTACTGGATCGATTTGGTGTGCTCTTAAGGCAAAACCCGTCCTTGTGGCCAACAACCTTGCACTTCCTGCATCGATGTTGCTTAAATGGGCAATTCCTTACGTAGTGCCATGCACCACAATGCCAGCAAGGAGTGGAGGGATTTGTTCTGGTCTGTCGAATTGGGCTGAAATGAGTTGGACTGAATGCAGCGGGAGCGCACTGATTCTGGTTAGTTGTCTTTTGGATTACTCGTACTTCCGATCGACTAGACCCACCACTCTCAACCATCGACGTGTCTCGTTGTAGATTTACTAGGCGTTGATATTCATTAGCCATGTCATTTAGTGTGAGTTTTGGATCTTGGTCCAATCGACATAGTAGTCGCGTTCTTATGTCACTGAACTTCTGGGACTGAAGGCTGCAAATGAGGATAAGGGCTTTGAACTGGTCTTCAGATAAAGACTTTAACCGGAACCGTTCGCATTCACGGTTAACGATGCCCACATGCGTAAGGAAGTCATCGTCTTCGTTCATAACCAGCTTCAAACATCGGTAACGGGTGTTAAACAATGATGAATTGTCCCCAAAATGTTGGCTTAGTGTCTGGACTGTGTCTGCGAAAGAGCGATCACGTGGATTCAATGGCAGGATCAAATTGCAGTACCTGTCCAGCTCACTTGCACCCAACTTCCGAAGTAGCAGTCGTACCTTCCAAGCATCATCTTGATTAGCAAAATCAAATTTAAATAGGTCTTCATAACGCCGGAACCACATGTCAAAAGTAACGTTTGCATCAGGATCATAATGAAACTCAGCAATACTATTTGCGACGCCGTCTACTGATGGTGCTGTGGTTGCATTAGCTGTGCTAGGCTGTGAAGGGGGCGAAACTTTCATGTCTGTCAGCATTTGTATGAGCTTCAGCTGCTGTTCAAGTAATGATTCGAGTTTAGAAGGATCCATGTTTCCAAACCACCGTCGCCAATTGTTATGCCTGAATCTAAATCGATTCCGCGGTAACGAACGAAAGCCAATGACACGATAAGCTATTCTAATCTGTTGTCCCAGGCCCCGCTAACTAGATGAAGAAGTCCAAGGCAAGTAGGGGAATATATATGTATTCCGTAAGCAGCCGAGTACAAGCAATCAAATAAGGGAAAAAGTCAAGCGCATTTATACAGTAACAAATTGTCCTTGAGCACCATTAGTAAATAGCACACATAAAGAAACAAAGGACCAATAGCGGTTAAGATAGTTTACAGGTGGGAAATATGACGTGAAGGTAAAAGAGCGCTTTTGGCGCGAAAACAGCTAAATTCAAATTTTCAAAATAAAACTACAAGATTAGGCCATTTACCAAGTAAGTTCTGGGGATTTGACATCCCCAACAGATTCATTACTTGTCATTCACTTAATTGACTTCTTATATTATTATGTTTGACAAACGACACATACTTCTGTCAGGTTTTACATTGTTTTTATATCTGTCTATTAATGTTTATTTCCGAAAAAAAATTCGTGTGTGGATGATAATCATGATGGCGAAATACATTTTTTAAAGTATAATACCCTACACATTTTATTTAATAGTTAGCTAAAATAAATTCCTAAACTTCATTGTATACTAGAGTGAGGAAATATTTCAAATAATCATTTTCACCTGATAACTCTAGGTGATATGAATAAATCTTTCCGTATATCGGATTTTGTAATCACAACTAAGGAATAAAAGGCTAAACAAACATTGACATCAGCTAGTGCTCAGTGATAAATTGACATAATATCATAAATATACTTGTAATTGTTGTATCCCCTGGCGAATTATGAATCATAAATCTGATGTCCATTTATGGACAAATGTAATACGCCTATTCCTATTGGATAGTTGTTAAATGAGTAACCTAAATCTGATGTCTATTTATGGACAAATACAATATGCCCATTCCCTATTGGATAGTTGTTAAATAAGTGACCTAATCGTTTCCGTGTTCCTCTTATCACAACCTTTGTTTTGACCTTGGAACTATTATTATTGATTACTTTCCCTCTAGCTACAGCCACATTGGCCAATTACTGTACAAATGTTATTTTTCTATTTTTTGGTATAATTGGGTCTGTTTGGTTAGTATATATAACCCAGTGTGCTTGTGAATAATGATTCATATTTCCGAGGCTGTTATTTGTGTTCTGGACTTAACGGGCTGGGCTAGGCAGTTAGGAAGGACCGAATAGCACTCAAGACTGCTCGTACGTATTTTCTGTATCATTGGACGTTTCATATACAATAACGATTGTTATACGTTCATAATAATTGGCGACGGGGATTCTGGAAAAAAATACAGCAGCCGCTGACGTCATTTCGGGATTAAATAATCCATAATAATTGCCGGTTTTTTTTTGGATTTATTATTATTATTTACATTTTAAAAAATGGCCTTAACTTCCGACCAATTTCAGTTGCTAATCCAGCGACAAGAGCAGCGCTTCAGAAAGAGTCAATTGGATTTCATTGACAAATTACACGCGAAGCTGCTGAATCACCCATGCTTTGGGAGTGAAACGGAAGTTGACGCAATAATTTCAAAATTGCGTACAGAGCTGGAAAACGATTACAGAACTAATGAATATGCCGGCGAAAGCCTCAATGAATCCATACAAAGCAATAATTTAAGCGCAGCAGTTATACATGATCAGCCCAGTAACCCAGTACTACCTGTTTCAGAGACATGCCCTGTACACGGTCCAAGTCTTATTAATCCCGAAAACGGACGTGCAAACAATGAATTATCCTATTCACAGAAAGTAAATGTCTTGCAAAATGCTCATGAAATTGCTACAGTACCCGCCCACGAAGAAACGGGAAACAAATCGAGCAGTATATGGAATACAGTGGCACCAAATGAAATTAATCATGATACGGAAAATGTTTCTAATGAATCTAATGATCAAAATTCTGTAATTGTTCTACCAGATTTAGATTATTTTGATGATTCATATGTTTCTGTTGAATTCTCTTATAAAAATGAGAGAAAAATGTCAGATGTATTTAATGATAATCAAGAATCCAATACAACTCTCATAGATACTGATTATCCTAATGATTCATTATCTACTAATGAGGTTCCGAGGAAATTCAAGGAAACTATTTCAGAAGAATCAAATGTTGGTGACCTCGAATCAAATGTCGTCGATCCTCATGATCTCGTCAGTTCTAATGCATTCCCTGTTAAAGGTGACAAACATATCGCATTAATAGTAACTTGGCTATATGAGGATCCAACAGTCTTTCGTGGGGGAGGGTAAATTCGAGAAAATTAAAAATCCGGATTTCTCAAAAAGGGGAGGTGTTGTATCCCCTGGCGAATTATGAATCATAAATCTGATGTCCATTTATGGACAAATGTAATACGCCTATTCCTATTGGATAGTTGTTAAATGAGTAACCTAAATCTGATGTCTATTTATGGACAAATACAATATGCCCATTCCCTATTGGATAGTTGTTAAATAAGTGACCTAATCGTTTCCGTGTTCCTCTTATCACAACCTTTGTTTTGACCTTGGAACTATTATTATTGATTACTTTCCCTCTAGCTACAGCCACATTGGCCAATTACTGTACAAATGTTATTTTTCTATTTTTTGGTATAATTGGGTCTGTTTGGTTAGTATATATAACCCAGTGTGCTTGTGAATAATGATTCATATTTCCGAGGCTGTTATTTGTGTTCTGGACTTAACGGGCTGGGCTAGGCAGTTAGGAAGGACCGAATAGCACTCAAGACTGCTCGTACGTATTTTCTGTATCATTGGACGTTTCATATACAATAACGATTGTTATACGTTCATAATAATTGGCGACGGGGATTCTGGAAAAAAATACAGCAGCCGCTGACGTCATTTCGGGATTAAATAATCCATAATAATTGCCGGTTTTTTTTTGGATTTATTATTATTATTTACATTTTAAAAAATGGCCTTAACTTCCGACCAATTTCAGTTGCTAATCCAGCGACAAGAGCAGCGCTTCAGAAAGAGTCAATTGGATTTCATTGACAAATTACACGCGAAGCTGCTGAATCACCCATGCTTTGGGAGTGAAACGGAAGTTGACGCAATAATTTCAAAATTGCGTACAGAGCTGGAAAACGATTACAGAACTAATGAATATGCCGGCGAAAGCCTCAATGAATCCATACAAAGCAATAATTTAAGCGCAGCAGTTATACATGATCAGCCCAGTAACCCAGTACTACCTGTTTCAGAGACATGCCCTGTACACGGTCCAAGTCTTATTAATCCCGAAAACGGACGTGCAAACAATGAATTATCCTATTCACAGAAAGTAAATGTCTTGCAAAATGCTCATGAAATTGCTACAGTACCCGCCCACGAAGAAACGGGAAACAAATCGAGCAGTATATGGAATACAGTGGCACCAAATGAAATTAATCATGATACGGAAAATGTTTCTAATGAATCTAATGATCAAAATTCTGTAATTGTTCTACCAGATTTAGATTATTTTGATGATTCATATGTTTCTGTTGAATTCTCTTATAAAAATGAGAGAAAAATGTCAGATGTATTTAATGATAATCAAGAATCCAATACAACTCTCATAGATACTGATTATCCTAATGATTCATTATCTACTAATGAGGTTCCGAGGAAATTCAAGGAAACTATTTCAGAAGAATCAAATGTTGGTGACCTCGAATCAAATGTCGTCGATCCTCATGATCTCGTCAGTTCTAATGCATTCCCTGTTAAAGGTGACAAACATATCGCATTAATAGTAACTTGGCTATATGAGGATCCAACAGTCTTTCGTGGGGGAGGGTGAATTCGAGAAAATTAAAAATCCGGATTTCTCAAAAAGGGGAGGTGTTGTATCCCCTGGCGAATTATGAATCATAAATCTGATGTCCATTTATGGACAAATGTAATACGCCTATTCCTATTGGATAGTTGTTAAATGAGTAACCTAAATCTGATGTCTATTTATGGACAAATACAATATGCCCATTCCCTATTGGATAGTTGTTAAATAAGTGACCTAATCGTTTCCGTGTTCCTCTTATCACAACCTTTGTTTTGACCTTGGAACTATTATTATTGATTACTTTCCCTCTAGCTACAGCCACATTGGCCAATTACTGTACAAATGTTATTTTTCTATTTTTTGGTATAATTGGGTCTGTTTGGTTAGTATATATAACCCAGTGTGCTTGTGAATAATGATTCATATTTCCGAGGCTGTTATTTGTGTTCTGGACTTAACGGGCTGGGCTAGGCAGTTAGGAAGGACCGAATAGCACTCAAGACTGCTCGTACGTATTTTCTGTATCATTGGACGTTTCATATACAATAACGAATTGTTATACGAGACATAACAGTAATACCATGGATTTTAATAATGTAAGAGAAATAAATGTAACGAATTTAACGTTAATTACAAGGTTTCAGACTAATTATTAATATTGTGTGCACACTATATGGTAAAAGTAGCAATGGTTTTGATAAATCTTAGAAATTTGATAGAATACAGAAAGGGAAAAGTGTTTTCTTAATAGTGATTACATCAACCATACCCCCAAATGCCCTGCTACTGCTGAGAGTGGGGAGAAACCGCTATACCTCTCGAAATGCTCTCACATGGCCACGCGCATAAAGCCTCTGCCAAGGAAGTCCTACTCACTACCTTAACATGGCACATGTGTTGTTTGCGAAATTGAGAGGACGAAAAGCGAATGTCTAGCGCTTTAACCGGGTTGGTGGACACGGAAAGTCCATCTAGGGGAGTTGGAAAACCCTGGTTCCAAACCAGTGGTGCACACGGGCTCCAGGATTCTGAGGGAACAAATGGAGTATGAATCAATCGTTGGTCACCGGCTACCATGGGACTGCATCTCTTTACGATGCTCCAATATTTATGCGTTTAAATAAATAAATAAAAGTTAGCATTTATGACCCAAAGAGGATCTGTTCACTGTTAGTTTAGAGGTCGATTGTTAATCGGACGTAGTCTTTTACAACTTCAAATATAAAATAAATACAATCTAACTTTAACGAAATTAAATTATTAAAAAGAAACGTATATAATATGGTGGCAAAATTATATTTCCTCCTTTCTATTTTCTTCATCGACATATTCTACAATTTCGTTATTCAAATAATTTGTTTAATTTCGTAATTGTTTTAATTCTGTGAAACCGCAGGCGGCTGTTTTGTGCATATCCGGGCCAAACTATTACAGATGAAGAGTTTGAACGAAGTAAGACTTGTTTCTTTGTAAATTTCTGCTTACATAATATTTACATTATATGTACGAGAAATCTAGTCGAATGACATATATAAATTCTTAAGTCAGAAGACAAAGTATAACAATACTATTATAAAGAATAAAACTTTGCAGTTCTCAAATGATGGAACGCACAGATGTCAGTTATATCATCCAAACCACAATCGAAGAAAGCTGCGTTCCGATAAATGAATATCGGGAATAAACGATACCAGATTAAGCGCTACGTTCAAAAAAGCAAGTCATTCAACATAATCGGTTTTGGATAGTAGCACTCATGATGTAATTGAGCGAGTAAGGAAAATTAAAAAAAATAGTCCGAAACATCAATATATCAGAGTATTTATCTCAATGTCTTTCATTTGTTGTTTTTCAATAAATAGAATTAAGAGAAGTCGAATCAACTACTATGTTTGGTCGTCCAATTTTCAATGTGGCACGTACACTTTTGTCCTCAAAATATACAGACTTTATTAACAGATCATTAGCTCTTCTATTGTGGCCTGCACTTCTGGCAACCATACCAGCTAAATCATTTATGGAAGATGCTCAGCGCCATTGGCAAGATGCCTAGTACGTTTATAGATTTATTATTTTATTCTCTCGTGATATATATATGTATATATATATATATCAAACTTTCTGTCGATCATATCGCTTTGGAGATGTATCGATTGCGAACTAGGTGATTTCGCGCGGTTAGATTTACCGTGATCACTGGTTATTAGTTGATATATTTACACTTCGCTTTGGTGTAACAAATTTGAAAACTGTAGCAAGCATTATAAAATTGCTATCAAGTAAGCATATACTTTATTGCGCAACTCGTCCCATCTTATTGCCTAGTCTATACCATTCTAAGTTTATATTCCCTCAGACTAATGGGAAAATGTACAGGTAAGTGATCATAATGAATTAACATGCAGTCAGTTTAAAGCGCAAATATTTTCTATATCGTCAAACTCTCGGCACACACTGTATAATGCAATTCACTCCACACATTTTGAATTCACCTATTTGTTGATTGCTGCAAGTTTTTTAATTAAACGCATTGGCTTGTTAGCCTTATTTTATTTGAATAGCATTTAGAGTGCTATAAAAATCAGATCCTGTCTATTGTTGAAAATTTTAGATCAGTGTACCGTGGTTTAAATAAATTACAATTTTTCTCCTCTATTATTGGTCCCAGTGAACCTGGGAGCAAGCGAAAATAGTTAGCTCTTATCTATTACCTCCATATTTTGCAGAAGTTATTCAAAACTTAGATTTGTGTACTAGGGTTTGTGAATAAGTCAACTACGAAATCCTATCGTGGTTACAGTAATATCTCTTCGTGTAAGAAAACTACAATGACGAGGTGTAACCGTTATCAAAAAAGAAGTCTGCAACAGTGAAATTATATTTTCTACATGAATGAGAAACATGTCCGCAAAGTTAAGACTAAGTATTATACTTCAGTATTTAAAATCACTAAACATTAAAAGTGTAGTTGCAAATTTAACATGCATTTCTACGTGACCAAATTTATGGACTCATGTCACGTCATGATTCGAAAAGTCGTTAGCCATGTAAAACAAGGATATTTCTATAAACAGCTGTAAAACAATGTTGTGAAATAAAATTCTTAGTTGTATAATTTTATTTTAATGCTTGCAAAAAACATCAATAATTGAGACTACTGTCACCCTACTGAGTAATATGTAAACTTTAAGTCAATTTATTAGTTTCTAAGTGAAAGAGAATTTGATGTCGGCAATTTCCAAAGTTCTCAAAGAGTTACAGTAATGTATAACATATAGTTATCTGAAACTAAGACTTCAAAACAAATCTGGGAGTTGTCTTATTTTTCTGTTATTACCTAATATGATCCGTCTAGTGAACATTCAGTCGCTAAATATCCTGAGCAAAATGATAAAGAAATCGCAGAAATTCAGGAGGATGACACTATTGCTCCTGTCAACAGACCTAAACGAAAACGACAAATACAGGATTATTTCATGAAAATACCAAATAAAAGGTAGGTAAAACCAAGAAGGCAGTGATTGTTTGACATTCTTACCGTTTTTTTATAATGTGCTCGATTATCCCTTAATATTTGAGTTGTTTTACAGCAGTTCCATATTGTGGCTTTATACAAGAGAAAAGATTACAGATAGTACTAAACTGTTTTGAAATGCGAGGCCCTTATTTTCAGCACCTTCACATCGACTGAGCAGAAATAAAGGATTTCATAAGTAAATACTATATCCCTTTTATTCATGATTAAAATTTTGCGTGGATTTCCTACTGACGTGGTTTGCTATTACCAGCATGTGGAACTTGATTTTCAACCACCTGTTTACGAAATGAAATCTGAATTCCCTCAAGGATTAAGTAAACAAACATTAGCACGTATCTTTGCATTCAACTGCATTCTGAATACTTACACATGCCAAAATGTTGGTTTTGAATGTACTTTTCTATCGGCACTATGTCAAATATCTGCCGACATATTCGCCGAGAGACCAAACTACTGAATTCGCACTGTTAAGTCATTCGATGCTAAAAACGAAATAGTGCTTCTCAGTTTTCAGTGTTTCCCACTTATGTTGGTTCACGATATCAAAAACGAAACACTTTTTAATTAGATTATGTTTGTTTTTTTTTGTCAATAAGTATATATGGGCACATTACTTTCTTATTACTACTCCTCTTAAAAAAGCCAGCCAATACTTTGTTGAAGAACTAGACAATCCAATATATTCAGTGTACGAAACAAACTTGAGTCATCAAGAAAAACCAACCGTTCAATACCACAAAACTTAAAAATCAAGATAGACATGTTGAAAATTATCATAAGTACATAATTTTCAGACGTTTTCTAATTTTTTTTCTAGGTTAAAGAAAAATCATAATTACAACGCGTTACTTAATTTTATCGGATCAAGAGTGAATTGGGCTAAGCGAATAAATGGTACTATGACATTTACAATAACCAGTGAAAATGGTGAATTACTGCAGATCACTTTACCTAACGAGATAAGGATACTATATTCATGTGGCTTCAAACCTGATTCATTTTTAAATCTTAGAAAATAGAATTTCAAATATTCATATTTGTAATTATACAAGATTCCATTATTTTTTTTTTTAATGATACTAATACACATTATAATCGAATCAGTCTTATTTCTAATAATAACTGATTAATGCTGCTTTGCAAATGAAGGACGTGTTGCAAAATAAACAGCTGACTTTTGGTATATATATAAATACGTATACTCTCCAAAGATCGGACAGTTTTAAGGCTTATGTAATCTAACTATAAATCAACTGTAAGTTTTTTTACAGCACGATTTACCTCCTGGTTTACAATTTTAGTGAACTAATCAGTTTATTCCTTGTCTTCGCTTAACGCTTTTTCTGCTTGCAAAGTAAGTAAAGTAAAGAATTGGGGCTTCTATAAGTGTGACAACTCTAGAGTATTTGTGATAGTTTTCGTCACGTTATCTAACAAAGGTCTAGAAGGCTAAAAAATATGAAGTTAGAGCACCAGATTGTGGTTATACTTAATTCTTAACTTCACGGACATTCCAGAGTACTTATTTCTTATTGATGGAGGATTTCCATTTCCATATTAGGCTAATATACTTGAAAATAACTGAACTTATGAGCATTGTGGTGTGTGCTACTTATATCGACAAAAGTAGTATATATCGCTAGTCAGGAATATAATGTCCAGCAGGAGAAGGTCGAGGAGGAAAGAACGGGAACAGAAAGCAGTTGTTATGGAAATACAGGGACAATGAAGTCTGAGACGATTGACTGATATTTGCAAAAGGGACAATCAAGTTTGAGACAATTGATTGACATTTTGCAGATGAATTTAATATATGGTTCTCAGTTTTACTAAGAGACTCTGTAATTTTGTGTTCAAGTACATTCGATTGAGCGCACTTGTGTTCTCGTTCACTACAGCATGTATATATCAAAGTTTAAAAATGATAACTCCTACAAGTATTTAGACTTAGTCAAGAGTGAGTGAGAATGTCTGTTCTGTTGCTTCTCATGAATAACAAGCGTTTCCAGCGAAGTTTTTTACATTGTCGAATTTAAAACCAATATTTAAGAGCGGATTGTAGTCATTATTGGAAAACTACTTCGAAACAAAATTGTCAATCCTTGCTCAAGCAAGTATTCTATCTCAAAAAGTTATCATTGTATGTTGTTAGCAGCACTATTTTCTACTTAATTACACAATAAAAAAGACTAGTGATACAAACAATGTTAGTGATTTTAGTTTCTCAGTAATAATATACACTGTACACAGTTCTTTTGTAATATAACAATATCATTTACTATACATTCTAGTTAGAAATGTGATTAGAAGTCACCAACTCAACAAGTGGGATAAGAGTGTTTTGATGACAAAATACACGACAAGGTAGAATTGAAAGTATAGATATTTCAGATTGTTTTGAATTCTGTACACTTTGACTCTCTGTATTATCCCAAGTAAATGTAATTGTATAGGTTTTTCTTGAAATTAACCCGTTGTTGGATAGTCCTTTATCTGGATCATTTGCCTCGACCGTTGCATTGTGTTTCCACTCAAAGACATTTTTCAAAAACTAAATGAAAAACAATAAATTTATTGATTACAATTACTGAAACAATAATCAGCTTGAATATAACCATGAATATGGATCGATATATGATTGAAATAACTAGCTTACGTCTTTGATTTCTGTTTCGATAGTTAAACCAAAAGATGCGATCAAAATTCTGATTTTATTGGCGGACAAATCCATCACAGTACCATTTTCATAGAATGGGCCGTAATCCTATAATTTTAGAAAAAAAAGTGTCTGTCGGTTAAGCTATCTGAACTTTGATTTTTAAAGGCTCAAAAATATAAACATTCTGGAATGGAAGAAAATAACGAGAAGCATTATGATTAAGAAAAGTTGCATTGTAGAGAAAGTAGCAGGTATGTTGATAAGTAGACAATTAGAGTACAGTCACTTAATTCAAACCAACAATGTATCTCATAAGAATTTTCGAAAGAAAAATCGTGTGCTAAATAATTGTTCACTGTCTCTGTAGTGAAAGAGAACTCAGGTAGAGACCTTTTTATTGTTTACTACAAATTACGGAATTCTTTCGTAAAATGTGAAAACCATGCATATTAAATGTTTTGTCTGCAGATCTTTCATCAATTGTCCTTTATGATTCTTGAAATTTTCAATTCCTTAATTTCCCTTTCTATTTTCTTCAGTTCAATCTTCTCAACCTTTTTTGACAAGCATTTCACTCCTGATTGGTGTTACATACTACTTGTGTCGACAGGCGTAAGTAGCCTACACCATATATCCAGTAAATAAACATTGACGTGTTTTTGCCGAAGCAAATGATCAACTTTGAAACATGTTATTAAAAGCATCATAAAGTGGAAATTTTTCTATGAGAAAAACAACTGACTGACAAAAATGACTAAATTCTTTCTATTCATGTTAAATATGTATATTTCCTTGTTACAGTTATATTGAAATATCCAACTACGCAGTTTTATATATTCCATTTTATATATATATATATATATATATATATATATATATATATATATATATATATATAATATCAACAGTCATTTCACCTCTTTGTTTACAGTCTATTGAAGGATGACTTGAAATAAATTAATATAAAAAGTTTCATGCAATTAATTCTCTTTATGAATGCAAATAAAGCCAGACCAAATACTGATTCAGAATAATATGAATTCATTTTATTTCGTGGTTTCTCGTCAGCTGCTTACAACCGAATATGTATTAAAATTTTAGCATTGAGAAAATAAATAGTGTGAAACAATTGACATATTTGAATGTGAAGGATTGGAATGACAAAAGGTTATCAATAGACAAGTCAGAGGTTATTGGGTGTTAGAATCTAGGAAACATAAAGGACGAGTGGTATAATAGTTGAGTGGAGTTCAGAGACAGATAAGATAAATTGTGTGATAATTTTAGAGGTAATAAAGGATTCATGAAATTAAAAACAAATGGGATAGATTACGTAATAATTGAATAGAATTTGGAGAGTTCACATAATTTAAGAGAATCAAGTGAGCAGAAATGTGTGAGTGAAAGGGTAGTTTAAGAATTAGGTAGCTCCAACTGCATTTACCAATTTACATGTACGTGCCAAAGCACACACATTGGAAGAACCGAGAGAAGAGTACACGTTCGCGTTTCTAAGCATGTCCCAAAGAAACAGGCTGCGAGGGACTAGGGTTCTTAGCAGTGCAATAGCCCGGTATTTACTTGACACCGCGCATACCATACAAAGAATTAAGGATGCTTTCCGGTTTGCTGAAACGATCGCCATAAAAAACAACTTAAACTGGATCTATGTATTCGAAAAGAGACTAATGAAATTATTACTACCCTGGTAATCTAATTTGATTCTAACACCTAATAACCTCTGACCTTTTCTTACACATATATATTTATATTAGTTACCAACCTTTGTCATTCCAATCCTTCACATTCACTTATTTCGATTGTTCCACACTATTTATTATCTCAATGGTAAAATTTTAATACATATTCGGTTGTAAGCAGCTGACGAGAAACCACGAAATAAAATGAATTCATATTATTCTGAATCAGTATTTGTTCTGGCTTTATTTGATATAAAAAGTGTTGCGTCGAAATTGGTAAATAAAACGGATTACAAGTCACATGTAATGATATAAACAATATATGAACACTCACTCTAAGACAAGCTGTTAAAAATAGATGTTGGCTTGCTTCTCCAGCTCGTCTAGCTTTTAGTCGACGATCATTACACCAAGCAACCAGTAAATCTATATCAGAATCCTTAATATCCTTTTGTATTGAGTCATCATTACTTTGAAAATATATTTGCAATTCTGGATAAACATAATTATCACATCCCAATATTCTTGCTATCTGACGATGAACCATTAGATCAGCGTATCGTCTAATAGGTGATGTGAAATGTGTATATAATGGTATGCTAAGACCATAGTGCCATGTATAATTTAACATGGTTATATTATTTTGTTGTAATATCGATTGAGGATCAAAAGATAGCATTCGTAGAAAGTGATCATCGTATGAGATATTTTCTAACAAATTTTGTTTGTCATAACGTTTACTAAGTATGTTATACATACTATCCAAATTAAAGTATAGAGCGACCTAAAAAACAAAGTATTAAAACGAAATTTTCATAATTGAAATCATGAGTCAATTGAAGCTAGATCACCATGGAAAACCTGGAAGCACTGGACGGCCATTTCGTCCCATCTGAACAATTTGAGAAAATTTCCCAAAAAATTAATTATCAAACAATAAAGTATCCTTGAACCCACCGAACATTCATAGGTATATAGCTAATGTCAGGGAAGTCCTACTCATTACCTTAACACGGCACAGGTGTTGTGTAAGAAATTTAGTGCTTCATATAGGTTTTTAGCTACATCACTGGCCTAAGATAATTTAAAACCAATGCTACACACAATCTTCAAGGTCCTAAGAGAAATGAAGTATAAATCTGTTGTTTAAGAAATTGAGAGGACGAATAGCGAATGTTTGGCGCTTTAACTGCGTTGGTGGACACTGATTCCAAACCTATTGTGCACATGTGCTTCCCTATCCTAGTGGAACAAATGGCGTATGAACCAATCGTTGATCATCAGCTAACATAGGACTGCATTTCTTCACAATGCTCCACTGCCTTGTGCGTCAGACGTTTAGGTCAAAGGCTCGGGGTGTGGTTCCCTAAGAAAATCACCTGCTTCGGTCTGAGCACCCGGGCAGTACCTAAGCCCTCTAAAAGTCGAATGATTTATGTGGCGCATATCTATTTGATATCTACTTGTACCAGTGTTTATGTGTTTAAATAAATAAATAATGAACCATTTTTGTCACTGGCTAGACTGGTACGAATTTTCTTATTGCTGCTCCACTGCTTTCTTGATAGTATCACGAGATCAAAGGCTGAAGAAAATGCTAGCTTCAACTCAAAACGTTATGTTGTCTTCAGTCATCACGATGTACAAAACTGTTCTTGGT